AAGGGGCACAAAAGTGCTAGAGGACTTCTGGGGGAGGATTCCATACTCTATGAATATTTTCCCAGATTTGAGTCTAACGACAAATGCCCTTCCTAGGGAGTAAGGGAGGCAGGGGACATCTCAGCCTGTATGAAAGCTGGACGATGAAAAAGGAAGACAGAAAAATTGATGCATTCAAACTGTGGTGTTGGTGAAGAATATTGAATATACTGTGAACTACGAAAGGAGCAAATAAACAGTCTTTGAAGAAATACAGTCAGATTCCTCCTTAGAATCAAGGATGACAAGACGTTGGCTTGCTTACTTTGGACATGTAATCAGGAAAAGACCAGCCACTAGAAAAGGACATTATGGTTGGTAGAGGGTGAGTGAAAATAAGGAAACCCTTCAGTGAATGGTATCGGCATACTAGTACAACAATGGACTCAAACATCATGGCCTCACTATGATGGTGTAGGACCAGTCAAGTTTTGTTCTCCTGTACATAAAGTCATCCTGTATTGGAGCTGACCCAATGGCAACTAACAACAACCACCACCCCTGGTTTCTTACGCCATTCTGTTGTTATTAAATGCCATTAAATCAATTCCAACTCATAGCAACGCTATGCACAACAGAACAAAACCCAACCTGGTACTGTGCCATCCTCACAATTGTTATGTTTGAACCCATGGCTGCTGACACTGTGCTGATCTATCTCTTTGGAGGTCATCCTCTTTTTCATTGACCCTCTACTTTACCAAGCATGATGTCCTCCTTCAGGGACTGGTCCTTCCTGACAACATGTTCAAAGTATGAGAGACAAAGTCTTGCCATCCTTGCTTCTGAGGAGCATTCTAACTGTACTTCTTCCAAGACAGTTTTTTTTTGTGTGTTGTTCTTTTGGCAGTCCATGGTACTTTCAATATTCTTTGCCAACACCATAATCTGAATGCATCAATTCTTCTATAGTCTTTCTTATTCATTGTCTAACTTTCACATGCTTATAAGGCAATTGAAAGCACTATGGATTAGATCAGACCCAGGAACCCTGGTATCAAAGAGGGTTATGTATTAGACTGCTAACCACAAGGTCAGCAGTTTGAATCCACCAGCCACTCCACAGGAGAAAGATGAGGCCTTCTGACACTGTAAAGATTTACAACCTCAGAAATCCTATACAAAGGCTCTATGAGTCGGAACCAACTTGATGACACACAGCAGTAATAGCATCAGGTCAGACCCATTTGAGTACTGAAAGTGACATCTTTGGTCGTTAACACTTTAAAGAGGTCATTTGAAGCAAATTTACCAAATGCAGTATGTCATTTTATTTCTTGACTGCTGCTTCCATGTACATTGATTGTGGATCCAAGCAGAGTGAAATCTTAGGCAACTTTAATATTTTCTCCATTTATCATGATATTATTTATTAGTCCAGTTGTAAGGATTTTCATTTTCTTTACACTGAGGTGTAATCCATACTGAAGGCTGTAGTCTTTGATCTTCATCAGCAAGTGCTTCAATTCCTCTTTGTTTTCAGCAAGCAAGGTTTCTTATGGCTTCTACCAATCCTGATGCCACGTTTTTCTTCATATAGTTCAATTTCTCAGATTATTTGCTCAGCATACAGATTGAATGAGTATGGTGGAAGAATACAACCTTGAAGCATACTTTTCCAGATTTTAAACCATTCAATTTATCCACTTGTTCCATTCTGACTCTTGGTCTATATACAGGTTTCTCATGAGCACAATTGAGGGTTCTGGAATTCCCATTGTTTGCAATGTTATTCATAACTTGTTATGATCCACACAGTTGAATGTCTTTGTATAGTCAATAAAAACACAAGTAAACATATTTCTGTTATTCTCTCCTTCCAGCCAAGATCTATCTGATGTCAGCTATGCTATCCATATTTCCACAGCCTCATCAAATTGTAGCAAAATTTGCTTCCTGTATAAAATTTCTTTTTCTTCCTCTAGTCAAGTTCTGATCAGCAAGTCATGCAAGCGAGGTCAAATGGGTACTATCTGCAAGTTTAGGCGTTCTTGCATTGATGACTCCCATGTGGAATAGCATCTTTGTTCTTGTAACAGCCAAACATGCTGCTTTTTTATTTATTTATTTTTTAACTGCTGGTCTTTCTTTCTTGAAATATCTTCTGTTCTTCTAGTCACTCAGGGTTGGTGTCTGCATGTCCTTTCAAGTGGGAATGTCCTATCTCAGATGACTCTGGATGGGGTTTAGGATTCCACCTAAGTCCCCATACTCTACAAAGGCTTAACAAGAAGGCTATTTTACTGGGAAAATTCTAGCACCCCTTTTAGGTATTCCAATCAGTTATAGACTGAAGACGGGCTTACAAGTTTTCTGTAATCATGTTCCCCGATATTCCTTTCTATCCCCCTCAAATGTCTATTTTACAATAGTAGGCAAGGGACATCAATCCACAAGACAGTCAAGCACCTTAACATTGTTTCCCTTCTTTCACCCATTCAGACTATATCTCGATCCCTGTATTACAGAACCCTGTTATTCCAAGTTTGAGCACACATCGCTATTTACCTCTGTCTCATTAAGCGCATGTAAACCTATCTATTTGTTCCCCTATCTTCCTTGTTCTTCGCTCCCTCCCCCTTCTTGTGTATTGCCCTCCCCTTCCATGTATATTGCCCTTCCTATCACCCAGGCTATGGAGTCCTGGTGTGGTGCTGTGGGCTAATGCATCAGACTGCAAAACCGTTTGAACTGCAAGGTTCAAGCTCACCAGCTGCTCCTCGGAAACCCTATACAGGGTTGCTGTGGGTTGGAACCGACTCAGCGGCACATAACAACAACAACAAGAATCACCCAAGCTATGATGTGACTATTCCCTAACCTGCACCTTATTGTTCTCTCCCTTCCATCCCTGGTAACCATCAAAGAATTTTTTTCTTTTAATATAGAAATCTTTTCTTAAGCTTTTACAATAATCGTCTTAAGCAATATTTGTCCTTTTGTGACTGGCAAATTTCACACAGCACAATGTCTTTAAAGTTCATCCATGTTATGAGGTATTTTGCTGCTTCATTGTTATTCTGCAAGGTAGCATAGTATTCCATTGTGTGTATGTGCCAAAGTTTGTTTATCCATTCTTCCACTTAGGCTGTCTCTATCTTTTTGCTATTGTGAACAGTGCTGCGATAAACATGGTTGTGCATGTATCTACTTGTGTTCTGGCTCGTGTTTCTTATGAACATATTCCAAGTAGAAGAATTGCTGGATCATAAGATATTTCTATTTCCAACTTTCTGAGGAAGCATCATAACAATTCCCAAAGTGGTTGAGTCATTTTATAGTCCCACCAGCAATGGAGGAGGATCCCAGTCTCTCCACACTCTCGCCAGCATTTGTTGTCCTCTGCATTTTTGAACTTCGCTGTTATTGCTGGTGTGAGATGATATCTCATTGTTTGTTTGTTGCTGTTTTTAAAGTTTTTATTGTGGATTGAGTAAAAGTTTACAGGGCAGATCATCAGTTTTACATTAAAAAAATCATACACCTTGTTTCAATACAATGATTATAATCCCCTCCATGTATCATTAGTTAGCAGTATTTCTATTCACTTTAGCTCTTTTTTTTTTTTTTTAATCAAAATCACTCAGGCATACATAATAATTAACACCACCAAAAGGCACATTCTGCAAGTATGCCTCCTGGATGCCATCTCCCAGTCCTTCTCTTCCCATGAAT